TGGCAGAGCCAAACACTTTTTAAAAAATGTTGTCATTTCTTCTTCTTATTTTGACATCTGTGAAGAAGTCTCTCAGTTATTAAAAGCGGTGTCCCCAAGTACTGTGTCACACCAGAGCATTGTTATATGTCATATGAGTCAGTATTAGCTTTTGTGACAACTTTGGAGTCACGTATTAATCTATTCCTTGTTCCTAAGAGAGGTTGTTTGGTAACATTTCTTCTATGGGTGGCAGGGAACTTGCAGAGTGGTATGACTCGCCTAAAATCCCGTGGAAGGCTGTCAGATAGAGCCGAGCTCAGGACTCCTTTAAAGCAAGGGTACTGCCCTGTGCCTGCTACTGTGCTGTTACCCAAGATTTTCAGATTTTAATTCATTTAGGGTGAAAACCCCGATCTCCTACCTACTTCCCTGAGGACAGGGAAGACATGTTGGAAACTAAATAATTCTTCCATAAGGTTGGAAGGCTCACCTGCAAAGCTCTGAGGAGGTTAAAGGGAGTGATGCTTACTTCGAAATCTGTAGGTATTCCTGTAGCCCTCTTCCCCATCCCCCATGATCCTATGCCTTTGAGTCCTCTATTGGCAGCACTTTGTGAGTACTGGAGGTTTGAAGTGGCCGTGAGTGTGGACTTGGGGATGTCTGTGGACTCCATGGTCCCCGTGATCGAGGCTCTGACTCATATGCCTCTGACTATCGTGATCTTGTGATCACCTATCCTAGTGTGTTTTAGATTAATGATTGCAAAGCTATTCAGGAATTTAGGTCAGGCAATTTTGTTCTAGATCAGTACTTCTTAAGAGGTGATCCTTGGGCAAGCTGTGTCAGAATCACATGGGGAGCTTATTAAAGAGCAGGTTCCCGGCCTGGCCCCAGACCTGCTCGATTGGCATTTCTGAAGGGGGACCCAGGATTTGCATTTTTCACACGTTCCCCAGGTGATTCTTCTGTAGGTAGAAGTCTGAGAATTACTACTGAAGGTCTTCAGAAGAATGTCTATTAAAAGTTTCCCAGAGAGAACTGGCTTCTCCTGTTGCGTATGTATTCTGGGAAATGGCCCAGAAGTCGCCAGCCTGGGTCTCCCCTTGTGACATCTGCATTTCCTGAGGTTACTTTCAAATCCCCCTCCAGCAAATGATTTCTCCCCGCTTCCCGCTTCCCGTTCAGACAAGGGGCAACTGTATGTCACACCCCTCCCCCCACAGGCCCCAGAGCTGCCTGGCTCCCTGTCTCCCAACGGACCTCCCAGCCCCAGGCCTGTGATGTCGGAAGGGGACATTACTGGCCTGGGGCTGGCAGGAGGAAGGGCCTAGAAGCCTGGGGCTTGTTTAGGAACTCCACACAGAATGGTTAGCTTGGAAGTAGGGAATGGGGGTCTTCTTTTTTTTCCTAATCCCCCAGCTTTAGTGAGGTATGATTGACCAATAAATATTGTATGTATTTAAAGTGTCCAGCATGATGTTTTGATGCAGGTGTCCATAGTGAAAGGATGTCACAGTCAAGCTAATTAACACATCCATTGCCTCACATAGTTTCCCCCACTTTTTTTGTGGTAAGAACACTTAAGATTAATCTCTTAGCAAATTTCACGTATACGATACATTATTATGTACGATACATTGTTATTAACTGTAATCTCTGCAGCGTACATTAGGTCTCCAGAACTTATGATGAACCTGGAGGACATTAAGAGAAATAAGCCAGACACAGAAAGACAAATACTGCATGATCTCACTTATGTGTAGAATCTAACAAAGTCAAACTCATAGAAACAAAGAGTAGAAGGTGGTTACCAGGGGCTGGGGGCTGGGGAAAACGGAGAAGATGTTGGTCACAGGGTCCAAACCTGCTGGAGTGTGGGTCATCAGATACACGACAGATCATCTCTAGAAAGCTGGAGTGTGGGTCATCAGATACACGACAGATCGTCTCTAGAAAGATGTCTTCTCTTCTGCACTCTCCCCTTTGAACAGCAGGGATCCGGGGATAATAAACACATGAGCTTACACGCTACTCCTCCACTCAGGCCCCCCAACCCTGGACAAGTCCCCCAAGACCCCGGGAGCCTGGCTCACCCCCGACTCTCCATGTACGCACAGTGGCAGTAGCAGCCAGGCCTGTCGTGGGGTGGAAGCTGGAACAGACACCTACCTTCTGTCTTTCCTCTTTGCCTTCTCGAAGGCTCTGCCAGGTGGTCGACCACACCCACCAAGTGTGGGTGCTTCAGCAACTGTGCAGACTTCTGAATCTTGAGAAATTCCAATCTGCAATGTTTCTCTTATAGAAAACAGTCCAGCTTGATACCTGTATAGTCTGAAGATGTTTTATTATTTTAAATGTGCTGCAAACTTTGAGTTCTGGGTAGATGGACACTTACATTCAAACAAAGTTAATTTGCTACCAATGAAAATTCTACTAAGAGGTTGGACTGTTTATCTCAAATAAAATGTTAAAATAAGAGAAGTGCTTGGCAGTAGTAGACCTGTAATACGTTTACTTTTCCTTTTTAACCATTTTTAAATACATATGCTTTTAAAATTGTATAAAAAAATGTTTGGCATAGCAGATGTTCTCACACAATGTGGACATTTCAATTTCAGAAAATGTGCCTGGGTATAAAAGGAAGGGATTCTAAGAGAAGGGATCAGTTGTGGGTGTTAGCATCTTGTACACACAACCTGCCATGTTTTTCTGTTGTTGCAGGTGATTTTCAAGGCCAAGTCAAAATATTCTCCAGAACTGCTCAAATACCGGTAAGTACCTGTGGCACCTCTCTCCGCAGTGGAAGGTGAAAGCGCTCACACGTTAAGCTCCTTTCTCTGCCTAGGGTTTGCACATGCTGCTTCTCTAGAAGCTGCTACAAGCATCGCATCCAGGGCCCATGAGAGTCAGCTCATTGAGTCATGGCTCTTGTTTACCTTGTTTAGAAACAAGAGCCCAAAGCCTTTCCTGACCAGGGAGGGAACAGACAGAATAAAACAGATGCATGCTATGTCTAAACCTTTCTGAGCCACTCAAGATGTAAAGGGCATCTGCAGAAGGAGAAAGGGTTTCCTGAGGGTGCCAGTGTGTAGCCAGGTGCCCATCCCACCCCTGTGCAGGTGCAGCTGGGGCAGCGCCTCGCCCCTGCAGCCCTGCCCTCCACCTGGCCGCCAGATTTTCACAGAGGTCTGTGACTCCCCAGGCCAAGACCAGTGGCTGGAAGAAAGGTCAGATCAGGTTGGAGGGGAGAAGAGGGTGAAGCTCCAGAAGGGGTGGGGACACCAGTGCTAGCCCTCGCTGCCCAGGAGAGCCAAGCTACCTGGAGAGCTGACTTTGGCCAGTCACCTTCTTGCACTAAAGTGAAAAATTATTTTGTTACTTTAAAAATATGTATAAATGTGTGTGTGTACGTATATGTTATTTAAATACATATCATCTAAAATCTGTGAATCCTTTTTTCAAATCCTCAAAGTAGTGCTTTTATTTTATTTTATTTTTTATTAGCGTATTTATTATTACAAATCATAATTTTTCTCTATGCCCTTATGCCCCAACCTATCACTCCCCAGACCCGTCCTCCCTCCCCGCCATCTCTAGTATCCTTAGGTTTGTTCTCTCCTTCTGAAAGTTCAGTGTATTATCATGTCTTTTCTTTTTTTCCTTTTCTTTCTATCTTTCTATATTTTCTTTCTGAAAATGGAATAGTTTAATCCCCAGTTTATATCCAAGGAAACAAGTTCAGAAGGTTGTGTGACAGGGACGGGCCTGGCTACGAGTCCTGAGACTCCTCATCCTGTGTTTTGTTCCGGTTTTTACCTGATCGTGCTGTCTCCTCCCTTCACTACTTTTTGGGTAGTTGCTGTGGATTGAATGTCCCCTGATGGAATTTGGAGTTTTCCTGGCATTTGTGCCAAGGTGATGCGATTTTTCTCTTTTTCGGTCTACGGATTTTAGTCTCTTTGGCCGGGCATGGGAGTGCTTTGATTTTAAGCATTTTCAACTGTTTTCCTTCTTTGATTTTTTTTTTTCTTTAATAAGTAAAAAATAGAGTGGGCCAAGCTTTGCTTATCCCTTTCTTTGGATTTTAGTCTCTTTGGCCGGGCATGGGAGTGCTTTGATTTTAAACATTTTCAACTGTTTTCCTTCTTTGATTTTTTTTTTTTCTTTAATAAGTAAAAAATAGAGTGGGCCAAGCTTTGCTTATCCCTTTCTTTAAGAGATCTACAATATTGGAAGAGAAATTAAACAACACTTTACAGTCCATCGGTTCCATCCCCTCGTGTGGGAGGTGGCAGACACTGTGGCGTGGGAGCTGCCAGCAGCTGCTGTGTCCAGACTGACAAAGTGTCTCGAAGGCTCACCCCATCCCCGCACAGGCTGACTGTCCACACCGACCTGTGTCCGCAAGCAAAGTGGTCTCCCCAGATGCTGGGTCACTCTGATTTTCTTCTCCTTTGGTCCTTTCTCTCGTCGTGCTGGCATGGGCTGTTTATCTTGACCCTGTGGTTTGGGTTGAAAAGAAGTAGTTTTGGGGCAGTGTACCAGACTCTGTTCCTGCAAAAACACATGCTTCTCTCTCTCTTTAAATATCTCTCTCCACACCTCCAAATGTCTTCCTTTCTACCTCAGCTGCAGACCTGGGGGGAGAAGTTTAGTTTTGCAAGGTATTTTAATACTATAAAAGTTATACAAGCTCGTTAGCAAAAGACTATAAAATAGAGAAAGATAGAAATTTTGTGAACGGAGACAAGTGGAGAGAAATAAAACAAATCTGCTGAACTCCCTCTCCCCCCAACATAAATCCCCTTCAACCCTAAGGAAATACAGTGATGTATTTATTCCTTTGGAGGTTTTTATATACCATTTTCTAAGACAGAGCGCATTTCCGATTTTGCTTTGTGACTGTTTAACTTCATGTTAGGTCACACATGTTTTCTCCATATTGTTTCACATCTCCCAGCAATCCTCTTTCTTGAATAACTGACTTTTGTTTAGCAGGCTACACAAAGCCTCCTGAAGGCTCACACAATAGGATTTGCTCGATAGAAATCAAGGGGGAGGAAGGTCTTGGGCAGAAAGAATTTGCACAAAGACAGGTGGGTGAGGACACAGGGGCGGGTTTGTGAACATTGAGGGGACGAACTTAATTTGCAGGTAGGGGGTCCATAGACGGATCTGCCTGTGAGAGCTCTCCAGGGACCAGGTCCAACAGAGGAAGGGGGGAGAACAGCAGGCTGTGGGGCAAAGGCATGGGGAGCCTCGGGGACGCTGGGGAGGGGGTGGGCCTGGGAAGGACACGGGCCGGCGGGAGACGGGCAGAGCCACTTAACATGGGCTGTGCGTGAGCACCATGGGGGAAGAGAGAATGGGAGGAGGTGACACTTGTAGAAGTTGCCGAAGAAAGGAGAGGCTAGGGTGAGACACGGAGGCACCAAGGGTGAGGCCAGAGGAGAAGGCAGGAAAGGAAGGCGTGGGTTTACTGAATTCCCACAAGAGCTCTTTGAGGCAAGAACAGAGTCAC